CTCCTCCTCCTCATCCTCCTCCTCCTCCTCCTCCCTCTCCTTCTCCCTCTTTCTCTCTTCCTCTCTCTCCCTTTCTCATTTTTTAGTCTTCTTCTCCGCACTCTCCTTCAGTGGATCTCGGGTGAAAAAGTGATAGTTTAAATGCTTTAAAAAATGTATCACCAAATTCACACCCTTTTGCCTACAATGTGGTTCCCTAGATTTGGTGCGCTCAAATTAAGCCGGAGTATGAGATCCAGACAATCTCTACGGATGTCCACTCTGCGCCGAAAATCAGGTTTGTTGCTTTAACACATAGACTTGTATTGCGATATCCAAGATTGTACACTTTGACTTGATTCCGGTTCACTATAGGGCACACCATTTGGCTCTCCAATTGAGAGGTTGCGTAGTGGAATCAGGCTCTCGTCAAAATAATGAAATTGAAGAAAACAGCAGTTTTCTCCCTGCTTAACAGTTTTTATCAAATTTTTGTTTTTTGGCTCAACAATTGTTATGTCCATTTACAAACACATTCCTTTGAGGATTTCACCGAAAAATGTTGATTAAAGGCCCAAAAATATAAATTTACAGTTTTTAAGGACTCCACCTTTGGAATTTACCAAGCTTTGACGGCCATTTTCTCGCTAATTTTACCTCTTAAACCAGGTGACCCACACCTCCTTCAATCCTAAATATCTCCACCTCTATTGAAGATAGATGGATATTTTTTCATCCAAACAAAAACAAATGAGCAAGCTTTAAGATGATACCAATAACTCAATATGCCCAAAAATTGACGAGAGCCTGATTCCGCCACGCTGCTTCACAATTAGAACTACATAGGGAAAGGAGGGAAGAGTTGCATGCGCACTCGACTATTTCGAGACTGGTGTTTTGCCCTTCATTTGGCACTCGTAGTGTGCACCAATTCTGTGAAGTTTTTATATTGAGAGAGAATAGAGTGGCAGCCATAACAGTGCCTGGTCTAGCATATTATAATTCAAGTCGATGTCTAAATAAAACTCTGAGGGTGATTGATGGGTTCTTTAGTGTGGTTTACTCCTTCTCTCCTATCAAACATCAGCTATAGTCCTTAACTTTCCTTCTTTCTGTGTTTGTTCCTCTCTTGTAACATATCCAATTTTTAGCATTTAGTGACCTTATTGTGTTGCAAGTGCTTAAAAACCCTTACTAAAAACAAAAACAAATTAAAAAGACCCTCTTCTTACTATACTTTGGTGCTCTGTAAGAGTTTGATGCTCTTTTCAAGTCTGTATTGTTTTAGATTTAAAGGCTAGACCTAAAATTTAACTAACATCTCCGGCGTGACAAAGCCTAGAGGGTAGAGAGCTATGAAAACTTCCCTTACTTCCCATGTTGAAGAATGAAGTATTAGAGATTTTTTTGGAGGCTCTCATGGCCTACAGGTTAAGATGTTGGTCTCTCATACAAAGGTCTCAAGTTCGAATCCGGGTAGAGACGAAAAAATTTCTTCTCTGAAATGGTCTCCTTTCACCTTCTTTCCTGCTCTCTAGTAATGTTCTGTCGTCTGCTTTTGTCTCCATTTTTCTGCCCCCACATCCTCACCTCCTTTGCCTCCTCCTCTCTGCTTCTGACTCTTTCAGCAGCCTTTCTACTGCTACTCCTTGGTTCATTCTTACAGCTGTCTTTCAGCTACACCCCTGAACTTCTGGTAGAGAAGATCTACACCTTGCCTTCTCGGACAAGGGCAAAACAATCTCGGAGGTCCCATGTGCAAGTTGCGCATGTTAAAGATCCCTTCGTGGTCTAAAGTCGATAAGAGTAGGTTTCGGCCTCTGACAAAATTCAAAATTTCCTACCAACTGAAAATGTTTAATGTGTCCTGCGCGCTCATATGACCTTATGCAGTTGCGAGCGCCGTAAGACACTTACCAAAAAAGAAAAGAAAAAAAGAGAGATTTTTAAAAAAGGGTTCTTTTACACCACCGTTGTCCAGTGTGAAGCACACTGAGCAAACAATATGCCCAAATTCATCATCTCACTGCAATTCTCTCTATATATAGCCTACCTGCTTTTATTTCTTTTCGGTAGAATGCTGTGGATTTTAGAGTGAACTCTCTTTTAATGGATTTTTCATCCTAACATAAAATTTATGATATGTTTACAGAAGTAAGACTGAGTTTTTGAGAATAGGGATTTTGCCCCATAACCTAGACGGTTTGAAAAAACCAGAGGTATTCGACATGATTTTATTGACCTTTTTTAATAAACATTTATTGGCTGTCTGTGCCACTTTACAATTCAGTATTCAAACAGTTTTGGTATATGGAATGCATAATTTGCCCTGTACATCAGACAATAACATAATAGATCATACGAAGGTATGCTAGGTGGTACAATAGCAACACTTTCCTTTGTGGGTGGTTGGCCGGTGCTCTGGAATGGTTTGCTTCCTTCTTTCCTGTCAAACATCTATCGCCCTTATCTCACTTCCTTCTCTGTGTATGTTTAAAAAAAATAATAACACCTCTAATCTTTGGAAGTAGTATGACTTATTAGTTTGTCTTGCAGGTGCCATAAAACTCTTACTAAAACTAAAAAACTTTTTTGTTTCATCTGTCATCAGGGTGCATGGTTCTCTACAGAACAGTGCTGAGTTCTCCGAAGTCTACAAGTGCCCCAGCTCATCGCCTTACAATAGCCAACAAAAGTGTAGTGTGTGGTAATAGAATGGCAATACTGAAATTTCCTAACTTTATTTTAGATTTGACTATAACACAAACTTGATTTCAGCTGATTTTCTTCAATAGTTGAAGACGACTTTGCACTTTTTGCCTGTGAAATTGGAATAGAGATTGGGCTACATACATATTAAATGTCAATTTAGCCTTTATGACCGGCCACAGGCTGTTTCGGTACAATTGGTGGATCACCTTGATTAAAATCATAGCTGAATTGATTTAAAATAACAATGAAAATTTGAGGAGACAGCTCTACCATTATGTGTTTTGTTATAAAAAGAGGAAAGTATAAGCTTTGATGTGTGTATTGCTGTTAGTGCTGAGAACAAGGGTTCTTGATTCTTTTCGAAGACAGACGTTTCTGACAGGGCACAAAGGTATATATTGACCTATACCTTTTGTACTGAAGATCACAGCAATCTTGTGAATTTCTGTTTTTTTGTTCAGTTATTTCAAAATTTTTCTTTTGGAATAGGGGCAAAATATATCCACCACATAGAATCCAGTTTATTTTGATGTGGTTTTGACTCCCCTCCTCCCTCCTCCCCCCCCCCCCTTACACACACGCACCAAGTGGCGCTACTTTCCTACTTTCCCTTTCTGCTCTTCCGTATCATATTTTTAACAACCAATGGCTTTGTCTTAACCCCCCCCCCCCCACAAAAAAACTGTTTTTCTAATTTGTCCTTTAAATCAAACAAAAAATCCTCCAAAAACACTACACAATAAATATTGATAGGTGCAGACCACCTTTCTGATTGCTTTTTTCTACAATTTAACAGAAACTTTGTAACTATGTATTTTAATGGCCACTTGTCTTCTATTGTACAACTACAGGAGGATCACCCAAAAGAAAAAGAGAGCTTACTGAATTAGAACTCGTAAGCATCTCCTCTCTTTGCCATCTGTAGGTTTGTCTTAAATGTTTCCATTTTGATGTCTAGCGTGTAGTGATTGCTCTGGTTAATCTGCTCTACTCCAGGTTAATTTCAATCCTGTACATTTGCTCATACTGTTGTTGGATCCTTGATACCTGTTTAATCATATTTACCAAGGTGTTTTAGAGAATTTTGAAAGTTAAAACTGCCCAAAATACCTGCTACGGGTATATCCTTTGAAGGATAATATTGACAACTGATATCAAAAGTAGATATATCAGCTGACGGTGTGGTGAAATATGGCTGACATTGTTCCGACTCACGGTTGGAAAATTCAAATCGACAGCCACGGCTGATGAACGTCTTCACAGTCTTATGCGTGTTTTGTGGGGTGCATGCAAGAGAAAGTTTGTTTAAGACATCACATGTCTTGCTTATATTTCTCGTTTATGTTAACTTTCCTTGAAATACAAGATCACGTTATTTTTGTTATAAAAGTTTGTGGTACTCCCGCAAAATGTTTTAAGATTCACAAGACTAGAAATTGAAAGGCAGGGTCGAGGCAGCCCACCTTCAAAAGGTGTGAATTATGTCAGTAGGGACATTAAGACTTGCAATCAATCAATTATTGTAAATTATATTCAGCCCAGGGTGTTTGTATGTACGTCAATAGACATTTTAAAAAGTATAGCAAGTCAAACTATTTAAATTTAGAAAGAAAACTTTTATAATCCACAAACTGTCATAATTTGTGGGTATGCTACATGTCCCCCTCCCTCGCCTCTGTTTAGGTAAAAAGATATGTTACTACCATAGACTTGTATCATGATATCTCAGACTGTGCACTCTGATGCAATTCCAATTCACTGTGGAGCACACCATTCGACTGAATTTGGAGTGAAATGAAGGGCAAATGGGAAAGGTGCTAGGCTCACTCGACTACAATGAGACTGGTGTTTTGGCTTTCATTTGGTAACCCATGTTGCGCACACTTGGCAGCAAAATAATTAAATAGAGAGTACAAATTGGTGACCATGACAGTGCGGGATCTATGATTACAATTCGAGTCTGTGATTACAACTACCAGAAATCCAAAGCTAGGCTCTTTGCCCTGCACCAAAAAGACGTGACTATGTTCAAAGATGGATTGGCACGTATAATGTTATTCCCGTCTTTCTGCTGGGGCATACTCCAAACAGTATAGGTTAGGTTGGCTCTGGCAGGCAGAGTCGAAGCAGCCTGCTCATTAAATTATCTTAATTATGATTGTGTTGATGGGGGCACGGTATAGTATACAACATAATTACATCAGAAATACTAAGTAGCCTAGCTAGTCCTCTTGTGGCACTGTTGATGTGGCAATGACCCAGGAGCATGGAATGACGTTAATGATCCATGTTTCCCAGGATGTTGCACTTTCTCGTGCCTTGTGGAAAATTTATGCAACTCAAGCAATGTTTGGAGGGGCAGCTTTCAGATGAGTGACCTCTCTGAGCGAGGTGTGTCTATCTCATCTAAATGTGTGTTCTCTGAAGAGACCAACAGACTACGCACAACTGTTTGACATTGTCCATTATGTTATATATGTATTTTATCACACACGCACGCACACACACACACACACACACACACACACACACACACACACACACACACCACACACACACGATTACAGAAACACACAGAAACACACACTCAAATGTGCTTACACTCAGACATAATGTAGAGTAGAATAATATATATGATTGTGAAACGAATATCTCCTTTCACGGAGCAATAAAGTTGTCTTTTTTTTCATCAATTCTCAAGTAGGATAAATGAATCACTGACTGCAAGTAAGCTTATCAAGGAATCTAGTTTCAATAAACTTGAGCTGCAAGCTGTACTAGATCTAGATCTAGTTCTAACATTTTGTTCTTCTTGTGTAA